CCCTAGATTTGCACTCAGCAATGCTCTGAGAGCCATGAGGTGCCAAGGATCAATCCATTTGCACCTTAACCCCGGAACGATCTCTGCAGCCCCTCCTGTCATTTAGTAAAGGGAAACCACGTATCAACATGTAGACAGATTTGATGCCACCTCTGTGTCCCCTGACCCTCACATTGGTCTTGTGGGTAGCCATGGGCACTGCTGCTCTTTTGAGCAGCTGATATCTTAAGGAAAACTGAGCAGCTGGCATGGACACCCTCTGCTTTCCCTCTGAACGACAAGAGTCAGCCCTGCCAGGCCTGAGGCTGGAGAGAGAGAGGCCTCTGGGCAAGTCTAATCCTTACAGGGAAAAAAAATCACCATTCATATGTTTGCACATCAAGAGCCTCCCAGGAGATGTTTGTCCACTCCAGGGTGCTGGTGACGCCAAGAACTCCCTCCCCTCCCGAGGAGATGGCTGACTCATGAACAGGTGGGGGAGGGGCCTGCCACTGCTCGGCTGCTGATGTCAGAGTATCCCACACAAAACAACCAGCTCCCGCAATGACGGGGGCAACAGGGCTCTGTGAGAGGCTAGCGAAGGGGCCCAGGGCCCGAGACTCTTCTAGAGTCTTTCCCTGAACAAGGCCCAGTGGCTGCAAGCTGCTTGGGATTAGGCTGCAGCAGCACATCCAACGCAGCCTGGGCTTGCGCCCATTCATCCACTGCACAGGCTGGAAATGCTGAATTAGCCAAACCCAGCGAGTCTGACCCAGAGTTTCCCCTGCAGCCAGCAGCAGCCTCGCGCATCAGCAGTTCCTGCAATTATGATGGAAACCCGGTGACCCAATTTCCTCAACCTTCTTTTCCTTTCTGGGAAATGCAACGGTTCTGGCCTTGAATTTTTAGGCCAATGGACCAAGTAGGAAGTCGATATTGAGGTGTGGTGGCAAACCTAACACTTGCACCTGACAGCGACAAGGCTCTGCCCCTCTCAGAGGGGGGCACAGATGTCAAACAGGCCCTGGGCCTGCCTGCTCCAGGGAGGGCCCCCACAGTCTCCACGCACACAGGCCCTGGGCCTGCCTGCTCCAGGGAGGGCCCCCACAGTCTCCACGCACACAGGCGAAGATTCACCGAGGCTGCATCTGCAGCAGTTCCCAGAGCTTTGCTGCTTCCCTGTCGCCCCCAGCCGGTGTCCCTGACAGCAGAGAGAAGCTGTGAAGGCTTTCCGCACAGGCCAGGCCCCTCACAGGCCGCCTGAGAGGCCCCCCACAACTCACACACACCCGGCTTTAGTGAGGAGCAGCATAGTCAATGGTCCAAAAAGGAGGGTTCGAATTACTTAGCCAGGTGACATGAGCAGACAAAGGCTTCGAACAACCTACTGAGCCTTGTTTACGAGCTGTGTGCTGCCCCTTACCTCTTCTGTAAAGGGCAGAATAGGCCTAGCTTGCAAGACGGTTGTGAAAAATGAGGGATGCTGTGAGGGTACCCGAATAAGGAGACAAGCCAGAAGCAGGGCCACAGTGGGAGGGGACCCGGAAGTTATAGTCTGGGCAACCCACAGACACCCAAGTTGAGACCCTGAGTCACGCACTCCCCCAGGCCACCGGCAGACATCCAACTCCCACTCAGCACCAGTACGGGGCGTGCAGGCCATGGGCACAGTTTATAGGTGATGGGCACACTCTATTAAGTGAAGGGCACACCCTAGGGCTGAGAGCGGTGCTGGTAGGCACCCAACTTTCAGTTACAGAAGCAGAAGCCCTCTCTAGCAAGAATAAATGGAGAAGGCTCAAATGGCCAAGGTTCCCTACCCAACACAAAGATCTTGTGAAGGGGACCACCCTCCATCACCCAGGCACCCCGTAAGGTCTATGAGGGCATATCTCTCTAATTGCACCAATACTTAACACATCCAACAAATCAGCTTTTACCAGACCATGCAATGAAAGGGAAATTCTGAATGCTTAACATTGAAAGGAAAAACAGGAGGCAAGCTTTCATCTAATTTCTTACCTCTAACATGTTAATAGTTGAAAGAACTGGACCCACCTTGTGTACCTACTTACACACAGGTACATACAGTGAAATAGGTACATGAAGCACAGCAAAGAAATGCATGCTGAGTTATCTCACAAGGCTGAAGAGCTATCACGGTATCACGGTCCTCCCGTTGTTCATCGATTTGCTCGAGCGGGCCCAGTAACGTCTCCGTCATGAGACTTGTTGTTACTGTGTTTGGCATATCGAATACTCTCGGTAGCTTGCCGGGCTCTCCGAGAGGGGCGGAGGAATCGAACTCAGGTCGGCCATGTTGGCCACTTGTAAGGCAAATGCCCTACCGCTGTGCTATCGCTCAGGTGCTCACCTTGCCGTGGCCAATCTCAGTTCGATCCCCAACACCACATATGGTCCCATGAGCACTGTCAGGAGTAACCCCTAAAGCACAGAGCCAGGAGTTGAACACAGCCAGGGTGTCCAAACCCCCCCAACATCCCCTCAAATGATTATCGCTGAGCTAGGAGGTGATGGCTTGAAATAAAGATAAACAACTGCCTGAATTTTCTAAAATGAACCTATATTTCTTTATTTTTCAAGCAGCTAAGTTTCTGGTTAAGTGACAGAAAAGCGAGTCCCCTTCCCATTCTTCTTCCCTGCTCCAGAAGAATACATTTCCTTCCACCAAGGAGAATGAGGGGCCCTGGCAACTAAGAAGCTGAGGAAACCAAGGCCCCTTCCCGACCTCTGGTCTTCCCTGAGGACTGAGCCTGAGCTATGCTCCCCCAAACCTCAGCGGTGGTGGACTCACCCCCTCCAGACCCAGACACCAACATGGCTGCTACCAGGCTGGAGCCGAGGGGCTGGGAGACCCCAGCACTGCCCCCCTTCCCAGGCCCCTCCCCAGCGGCTCCAGTCTGCAAACAGGTGGAGATACTTGCAGAAACAATTATGTCTTGCCAGTCCCCAACTAAACAGTGACCAAGTCAAAGCAACAGCTGAAAACCAGGCCCAACTTTCCAAGTACAGCCTTCATGTGAAACCCCATACCCAGCCAGAGACAGACAAACACATACATAGACACACATTTCAAGAATGGGGGAAGGCCCCCCAATGCAGTATTTTTTTTTAAATCAGAAAGACAAAAGAGCCAAACCAGACGGGCTCAAATTCCAGTGCTCAGCCACAAAACCCCTTTCAAGGTCAAACTATTCCACTTCCTGAACCTCAGTTTCCCCTTCTGGAGAGAGTGAAAATGAGAACTACTTCAACGGTACTGAAGCTCTTAAGATCACTGCAATAACCACTGTACAAATTGGCTTTTTTATTGTTGTATACGACAAACTCATAAACAAAGCACATGGAGTCATTATTACCATCGCCCAGCGGCTAAGGCTGGCAGAAACCTGGCTCTTGGCAAATGGTGTGTGTGCAGCGGGCTTGGGCAGCCAGGGAGGAGCCGAGCAGGGTGCTGGCACGAGCCTTCCAGCCCCTCACCAGGCTCTTCCTTATCCTCCACTTCCTCTGATGCGTAGGGAGAGGTCATTCACATCCCAGACACAGGCCTGTCACACTAGCCTCCTGCAGATTTCAGCAAGCCTGAATGAGACCAGATCCTCCCTGAAATGACACCCACACCCCCTCCTCAGTAACACTGAACCAAGACCTCACTTCTAATCCCTGCCTTCTCATCCATCCAAGGCCCAGAGTAGACAGGAGCTTCCCTGCCTGCTGGCTGAAATGCCAACACCAGCTGGACTCAGGAAAGGGCTGCTACCCCTCCTTCACCATCAACCGGGGAATGTATGTGTGTGGGGGGGGAGGGGAAACCTGAGGTTCACACACCTGAAACAGATTATCCAGAGCCTTTAATTACTGCCAATGGTCTTGCTGAAAGCCAGAAGGCTCAGATATCTACAGAATGGGCCATGCAGATGGCAGGAGCAATCCCAGGGAAACCAAGCTCTCTCCTGCCCTGGGGAAAGGCTCTGCAGCCCCCTAAGCTGTCAATTCTGAGAGAAGCTGACTCCCCAGCTGTTCTGGAGGGAGGCCCCTCAGGTTAAGAGACTTCAACAATCCACCTTAGAAAGGGAATGAGCACTATGTCTGAGCATTTCATCCAAAGGCAGAAAGGCTGGGCCGCCCACCTGGAGACTGGGACCAAGTGCTCAAGTGTTCAAAGCCTGGTTCTGTCTAGAGCCTACCTGGATGACCTTGGACAAAGTCACATGAACTGTGTGGGCCAAATTTTCTCACCAATAAAACTTGGGGAGGAGGTCGGCTTCTGTTTCCAGCTCCTTTGGCTTCAAATGCGTAATTCTGGAGTCTCCCTGCAGCTGATGCCCAGTGAAAACTGCCAAACACCACGACAATGAAACGAACTGCTCCAGGCCTAGACCTGGGAGTCCTGATCCTCATATACCCCAGAAGCCCTCGAGTGGGGGCTCCCCGCATCTAGCGGCAGTGCCCACAGTTCGGTACAACGCAGACCCCCAGAACTGAATGCCAAGAAATCCCAGGCAGCAGGGAAGACCCTCTTCTCCCCGCCAGCGCCCCAAACACACACATCCACTACCCACCTCCCTACGTGACCCAAACCCACGTGCACAGTTCCTTTAAATGCCCTGGCCCTTTAACAGCTCCCACTGTGCCCACCCCCTGCAGGGACGCCAGCGGCTGCTGCTGCGGAGCGGAGGACGCGGCCCAAGCGGCCGGCCAAGGCCTGCGGCCTGGGGGCTGCAGCCCGCGCTCCTTCGATCCCCCAGTTCCGGGCTGGCCCCAGTCGCAGTTCCCCCAGCGCCCTCCCCTTCTCCGCCCCCGCGCCGGCCGCAGGGGCCGGGACCGCCGCGCGCGCAGGGCTCGCCACCCGGGAGCCTGAGAAGGGACCGCGGGTGGCCGTGGCGAGGGGCGTGCGCAGGGCAGGCCCCGGCGGCTCGCGGGGCCCGGCTCCACCCCGTCCCTCCGCAGCACCCCCCAGGGGACCCGAGCGCGCGCCCCCAGCCCCGCCCGTGGCTCACCTGCTCCGCCGCGGCACCCCGGCCGTGTTTACGCGGCTGGCCGAGAGCCCGGCCGGACCCCGCGCCGGCGCAGACCCCGCCCCCGGGATGGCCCCGCCCCCGGACCCGGGCCCCGCCCCCGATCTGGCCCGGTCCCCGGGCCGGCCCCGCCCCGCCGGCAAAGCCCAGTTCCCTTGCCGGAGTTTGGGCCCCCACCGGGAGCCGCCGCTGCCTGGCACCCGGCACACTGAAGACCTGGGGCACCGAGTAAACCCGCCCGCCCGCAGCGCCCGACACCAGACTGGGCAATGACCTTCGATGGAGTGGAGGCCCGATCTGTAATCTAACGGGGTCCTGGCAGCACCGTAGGGCCGAAGCACCTTTGCTTCACGCACAATCTCATTCCTTGGAATTTAGGTTTTTCGCTGCTTCTCCCCTGCACCCCCCCTCATCCTGCCCAAACGTTTTTTTCAGGGTAAGAGCGTGCAACAGGCCTGGTGTACACTAACGTCATGAGAACGCCCCTGGCCAGTTTTCTACAAGCTATTCTGACCCACCAAGATTTCTAGATCAAAGGGAGCAAGGATGACCTGAGAATTGACCTAAGGAGTTAGGAAGCCAGGAACTGAAGTCCCGAAGGGCGATGGGGTGGGGTGGGGGTGGGGGTGTAAATTGAGATTGTTAATAACTGCATTCTCTGAGTAGCTTCACTTTTTTAAAAAACTAAGATAAAATTCACGTAAATGAAAATTAACCATTTTGAAATGTGCAGCTTAATGGCCCTTATTTGGAATATTATAGAACCACCATATCTCCCTATGTTCCAAAATGTTGCTCAAAATACAATTTTGTACCCAGTAAACATTTCTTTTCATTCCCTTCTCAACCTGTTTCCTCGGTCTCTATGGGTTTGTTTGCCTATATAGAAAGAGTACCTGATTTCAATTTTTTTGAGTGCACACCTAAGGTACTGAATTGCTGAATTTTATGAAATTTCTATGTTAAACTGTTTTTAATTTAGTTTTATTTTTATAAAGTTGTTCCCAGTAATTTATTACGTTCAATATTTCAACAGCAATCCCACCACCATTACACTTTCCCATCACCATTATTTCAAATTTTCCCAACCACTACCCAATCCTGCCCCAATAAGTAGACCCTAAATAATTTATTTTGTATTGCTTGTTAGCACAGCGGTAGGGCATTTGCCTTGCACACAGCCAACATGGCCGACCTGAGTTCCATTCCTCCACCCCTCTCGGAGAGCCCGGCAAGCTACCGAGAGTATCTCGCCCGCACAGCAGAGCCTGGCAAGCTACCTGTGATGTATTCAATAGGCCAAACACAGTAACAACAAAGTCTCCAATGGAGATGTTACTGGGCCCGCTCAAGCAAATCAATGAACAACGGGAGGACAGTGACAGTGACAGTATTGCTTGTTATAAATAATCAGCTAAAATGATTTTTTAAATGTTTCCTTAGAGGAAAGTGTGTAAAGATTGTTGTATATCACCCTGGAGCCTTTCAGCCCTTGTATGAGATACTAACGTGTTGTTACAGGTTTGAACTTGTATGTTAATTTATATATTTATTTATTTTGATCAAGAGGTTGCCTTCGACTCTACACCCCATCTAATGTGGTGTGCTACTCTGGTACATTTGCAGCTGCATGATCCAGGAATTCTAAAATTTTAAATAAAGTGATACAGCTGGAGTTAAAATTTCAATAGGATGGTGACTTTGGGGTCCAGCGGCATCACTGAACCTTGTTGATCTCATCCAAGATTTATTTGTAGTCTCTGGATCATGGCCATTGACGAGCTTATGTGGTACCAGAGACAGTTCATAGGACAGGAAGATGGGGGTTGGTCGCCCATCCCTGAGTCTGTGAGAGCCTGGAAATTTTGGTCACAAAACCCACATACCTTAGTTTTTAAACAGATTCGCTCATGGATGAGGCTCATCCAAGCCTGTGGAGATTGGCAGTGAGCATGGCAGGGATTGGATTCTGGAGGTTTTTGGCTGCCAGGGCTTTGTTGGGAAGTGTGGTGGGCTCACCCACCCTTCTCCATGGTGTCCCAGATGAGACTCAGCCTGGCACGGGGGTCTGGAGGCATGTTTCTCCGTTAATTTTTTTGAGGAACCACCAGTGTTTTTCTACTGAACATTCCTGCCAGTGATTAAAGAAGATTCCAGTTTGTTTACATCATCCCACACTTATTCTCTGATGATGATGATGATGATGAAATAACCTTAGTGGTTAGGAATGGGTGTCTCATTCTGGTTTTGGTTTGCGTATTTCTATTTCATTGCATTTTAATTTTTTGTAGGGACCATTCCAGCGATTCTCAGAGACCATATGTTGTCAAGTGGGGTGGGAACTTCACATATGCTAGGCATGAACTCCTTCCCCTGCATCTTTCTACTATTGATGTGGAACATAATAGGTGTGTATTTTTCAGGTGTGTATTGGGGAGTGGGGAGTGGGAGAGGTGTCTCTCAAGCTGTGTAGGAGGAGCTAGGGCCACCAGCAGCAAATCTCAGCCAATCGGGCCTGAAGTTCAGTTAGAGAGTTAGGTGCTAGAGTTATCCAAGTCACCTGGGTCGTATTTGGGGGGCCCCTAGGGCTACACCCTGTTGCAATACTCAGGAGACCATGTGGTGCCAAGGAGTCAACCCAGGTCTGATGCATGCATGGGCCCTAACCCCTTGTACTAAATCATGGGTCCCATAATACACAACTCTTGAGTTATCTATTATGTTGTTTATATATATCCATGTTTTTTTTCGGTTTGGTCATACCTGGCAGTACTTGGGGATTACTTCTGCCTCTGTGCTCTCAGATCCTTCCTGGCAGTGCTTGGGTAACCATAAATTGTGCCAGGGAACAAACCTCTATTGGCTGTATGCAAGGCAAACACCTTAATCCCTGTACTATCTCTTCAGTCCTGAGTTTTATTGTTTTTAATAGTTTATTGTTATGTTTATTATACATGCATGTATCTATATATATGTATATATATGATACAATACCCTTATCAGAGGTTTCATTTGCAAGAGTTTTACATTGTGTGAGTAGCCTTTTCCCTTTCTGATAATTTTCCATGATGCACACAGCATTTCATTTTTTGTTGTTTTCTTGGTTTTGTTTGGATTTTTTTCCAAGGGAGGGGGAGACACACCTGGCAGTGGCTAGGGATTACTCCTGGCTCTGTGCTCAGGGATCACTCCTGGTACTCAGGGAGACCATATATGGTGCTGGGGATACCCAAGTCAGCCGCATGCAAGGCCCTACTCCCTATATTAACACAGTGGACCCATAGACTTTCGTGTCTATGAAGTCCACTTTATCTAACTTTTTTTTTGTAACTTGTGCTTTGCTATCATAGGATTCTATTGTTAAATTCAAAATCATGAAACCTACTCTTGTGTTTTGTCTGATAATTTTATAATTTTAGTTTTCATACTTACGTTGTTGATCCATTTTTTAGTTAATATGATGTGTTCTGGGTCCAGCTTCAGCTTTTGCTTGTGAGTATCAATTGTCCCATCACTAATCCTCTAAGAAGTACTCCTTTTCTGGGGCTGGAGAGATGATCTAGTAGCTGGGGCTCTTACCTTGCACCCGACTGATGCTGGTTTGATCCCAGCATCCTATATGGTTCCCCCGAGCCCTGCCAGGAGTAAGTCCTGAGAGTGGAGCCTGGAGTAAGCCCTGAGCACTGATGGGAATAGTCCTACACCCTCCCCCACACACACACATGAAAAAAGGAAATTCTCCTTTTCCTCATGGTCTTTGTCTTTTTGTCAAAAGTCAATTGACTGTAGACAAATGGGAAAAATCCAACATATATTTAAAACTTTCAATACAAGTTAACTGAACTTGGAAGTAGAACAGACACGAATTTGACAAAGTAGTGATACAAATAATGAGCTTTGATAAATTGGAGAGATAAATTACAAATAACAATTATTAAACGATAGAGTATTTCAAAGAAGAGAATTTTTTAAATTTTTTAATTTATTTTTAAATTTTTTATTTATTTATTTTTTATGTAGTATAGCACAGCGGTAGGGTGTTTGCCTTGCACGCAGCCAACATGGCCGACCCGAGTTCGATTCCTCCGCCCCTCTCGTAGAGCCCGGCAAGCTACCTCACAAGAGAGCCTGGCAAGCTCCCCGTGACGTGTTCAATATGCCAAACACAGTAACAACAAGGTCTCCAATGGAGACGTTACTGGGCCCGCTCGAGCAAATCGATGATCAACAGGAGGGCCTTTTTTTTATGTAGGAGTACTGCTATTTATTCAGCCACTGATTAGCTAATTGAATTGTGCATGAACTCCACCTTACTTTTTTTTCCCATTTTTTATAATTTCATTTATTGAATCACCGTGAGAGCAGTTACAAAGCTTTCTGGTCTGAGTCTCGATCATACAATAAAACACCCGTACCTTCACCAGTGCCCATACTCCACCCCCACAACCCCAGTATACCCCCATCCCACACCCTCCCCCTACCTGTGCGGCAGATGATTTCCACATTACTCTCTCTCTGCTTTGATCACATTCAATATTTCGACACCAGACCCACCATTATTACTTGAGATTATACCCTAACACTCAGATCTGGTTTGTGGGTGTGTTTCCCACATACCTAACTTTTCGCCGTTTACTTTCTTGGTAAACTTTGCCCCAAGTTTTTGGGGTCTGGCCAAAGGCACAGCAGCAATTTTGGGGTATCTGGAAGTCTAAAGGCGCCATCAGGTTGCTGATGCACTCACCTCACAGGTACAGATTGACCTGCTGGCGGCACCATACCCCCTAAAGAAGAGAATTTAAGAGTCACAAATTTGATGTTTGCAGAATCCCCAAGAAAGAATTGCGCATCCTAATTGTTGTTTTGCTGTTACATTTTACTGAGAGGTTGAACTTAATGTGGAATATTTAAGATCATAAAATGAGTTAGGAAGTATAACACCTCTCTCCCTTTTTTTCAGTATGAATTAGAGTTTTAGTAGAATTAGTATTAATTCTTCTTTAAAGGTTTTGTAGATTTCACCCAAAGGAAGAATCTGAGCCTGCCTTAGGGAAGATTTTTTTAAAATTTCAGACTTA